CGGGCGGGAGCCCACGACGGGCGGGCGATCCCCTAACGGGCGGGTCGGGCGGGTGGAAGCGGGATGCCTGAGTATGGCGAGAGCGCGATTACTAAGTAAATTGTAACGGCGTCCTTGGCGCAGCGTGTTTCCTGAGCGTCGGATGCGCGATTCCTGAATGAATTGCATGGGAGTCAAAGGCGAAAGCGCAATTCCTGCATAAAATGTGAAAGGGCTCTCTGGCGGGAGCGGGGGACTTGATTAAATTGCGAGGAAGTCTTGATTCGATTGCGAGGAAGTCTCAAGCGGGAGCGCCGTTCCTGGGTAAATTGTAAGGAAGTCTCGGATGGGAGCGGGGGTCCTGACTAAATGGCGAGGAAGTCCCAAGCGGAAGCACCGATCCTGAGTAAATTGTGAGGGGCCAGGGGCCAAGTTTGAGCACCAAGACTTTCCCTGTCAACAAACAGGGTGCGAACGTCGAGGGGCACACTTTGATTGAGAAAAAACCGCATGCACCGGTGAGGGGGGAAAACAATAATTATTCTTCAGAAGTGAGAATTCAACAGCAACATCAACAACCATCATCATAAAACGGTTCGCTCATATCTGCTCGCGTGCAAGTCAAAACGTATATCTCCAACCCTCGATACCCGCCCTCTTCGTATTCAACCGTAGGCCATTAGGAGTATTTCCTTCTTACCTGCAACGTGTATTTCGTGTAGCCCCTAATGCAAGGGAAGAGAGGACGGATGGAGGGAAGGGACACGGGGTAGGCGGGTTGATGAAGCGTGCAGCCTGCATAAATCACGAAGAATGTCGAGCGATCGCGCGACATGAGGACATCCACAGCGAGAGCATGATTCCTGAGTGTCGAGTGCCGCAGTTTGGTGACACTTCACCTCCCCTTGTATAGAACCGGGTGCGAGCCCCGGGAGAAGCACTTCAATTGAAAGACGCGACGGTTACCAGAGAGGGGGCATCAACACGAACGAATGTAAGAAACAGCAACAGCAAGCACAATAACAAGAACAAGAACAAGAACAAGAACAAGAACAAGAACAACAACAACAACAACAACAACAACAACCATTTTAAGGCTGTACGCTCTCACTTGCCCGCGAGTCATTCAACGCGTATACCCTACACCCTCGATACCCGCCCTCTTCGTCTTCGATCACACCCCTTTCGGGGGGATTATTTCTCTTTGCTGGGGCCGGCGGGCTTAGACGTACGGGCAAACCGGAACGGGCGGACAATCCTTCGGGGGCGTACATCTCTCTGCCCGCCATTGGAATTGGCGCGGGCCCTGCAAGAGGAGGAGGGGAAGAACGAGGGAGAGTGGGAGGAAGGGGAGGGGGAAGGACGAAGGAAGAGGGAAGATACCACGTTGTGAAGGCGTCCTTGGCGCGTGCGTGGTTCCTGAGCGCCGAAACGCAATTCCAGAATAATTTGTGAGGACGTCGCACGCGAGAGCGCAGTCCTGAGTACATTGTGAGGAAATCTCAGGCGGAAGCGGGGGCCCTGACTAAGTTGCGAGGAAGTCTCAAGCGGGAGCGCCGTTCCTGAGCAAATTGCACGGAAGTCTCAGGCGGGAGCGGGGGTCCTCACTAAATTGCGAGGAAATCTCAGGCGGGAGCGCCGTTCCTGAGTCAATTGCGCGGAGATGTGAAGCAGGAGCAAGGGTCCTGAGTAAAATTCGAAGAAGTCTCAGGCGGGAGCGCCGTTCCCACGTAAATTGCACGGAAGTCTCAGGCGGGAACGGGGGTCTTGATTACATTGCGAGGAAGTCTCAGACGGGAGCGCCTTTCCTGAATACATTGCGCGGAAGTCTGAGGCGGGAGCGGGGGTCCTGAGTAAAAATCGACGAAGTCTCAGGCGGGAGCCGTTGTTGTTGTAGCCCGGGGGGCAGGGGCACAGTTTGAGCAGGAAGACTTTCCTTGAGAAAAAACAAGGTGCGAGCCCCGGGGGTGGCACTTCAATCAAAAAATCAATGTGCACCGGTGGGGGGATCAACAATAATTATTCTTCAAAAATGAGAGTTCAACAACAACAACAACAACAACAACAGCAGCAGCAGCAGCAGCAGCAGCAGCAACAACAACAACAACAACAACAACACCAACAACAACAACAACAACAGCAGCAGCAACAACAACAACAACAACAATCATCAGTTTAAGACTGATCGCCCTTATCTGCTCGAGTGTCCAATAACACGTAAGTCCCATACCCCCGATACCCGCCCTCTTCGTCTTCGAACGAACCCCTTTGGGGGGGTACACTTTTCTTCCCTGCAGGCCGGGCCCCAGCAAGCGGCGGGGCGGCCGCGGACCGTCGGCCTGGCCAGCGGCAGCGCTGATTGGCGGGGCGGCCGCGGACCGTCGACCCGACCCCAAGAGGGACGGACAGGGGACCGACCACGACGACGACGACGATGACATCGACGACGACGGCGACGACGACGACGAGCGAAATCGAGAGCGAGAGAGAACGACAGCAGGGCCACGAAAGGCACGAAGTAGGCCACGAAGGGCGACAGCGGGGACACGAAGGGAATGCGTATGGGGCTACGGAGAGCGCGAACGAGCGGGGGCCACGAAGGGCAGATAATGCGGGGCCACAGAAGGCAACGCTGGGGCCACTGAGGGTAGCAACTGGGCCACGTAAGACAGTGAGGGGGCCACAAACGGCGACATCGGGGCCACGAAGGGCATGCACATGGGGCCACCACGGGCGCGAACGAGCGGGGGCCACGAAGGGCATACGTATGCTGGGCCGCGAAGGGCAAGAGCGGGGCCACGGAGGGCAGCAACGGGGCCACGAAGGGCAGCGAGGGAGCAGAAGGGCGACAGCGGGGCCACGAAGGGCATGCATATGGGGCCACCACGGGCGCGAACGAGCGGGGGCCACAAATGTCATACATATAAGGGGCCACGAAAGGCAGCGATGGGGCCACGAAGGGCTGCAACGGGGCCACGAAACAAAGCGAGGGGCCCACGCAGGGCTGCAACGGGGCCACGAAGGGCTGCATCGGGGCCACGAAGGGCAGCGAGCGGGCCGCGAAGGGCTGCAACGGGGCCACGAAACAAAGCGAGGGGCCCACGAGGGGCTGCAACGGGGCCACGAAAGGGCAGCGAGGAGGCCACGAAGGGCTGCAACGGGGCCACGACACAAAGCGAGGGGGCCACGCAGGGCTGCAACGGGGCCACGAAACAAAGCGAGGGGCCCACGAAGGGCTGCAACGGGGCCATGAAGGGCAGCGAGATCCCGATTCCTAGGTAATCTGTGAGGGAGTCCGAAGCGTGAGGGCGACTCCTGGGTGCATAGGTGTCGGGAGCGCGTCGCTTGAGCAAATTGCATGAAATTCCAACGCAAGGGCGCTATTCGTCAGTAAATCGCATGCAAGTCTCCAGCGAGAGCGCGAGTCCAGAGCGCCGGGAGAGCGATTCCTGCATAAGTTGTAAGGAAGTCCCAAGCGAGAGCGCGATTCCTGAAGAAAATGCGAGGAAGCCTCAGGCGGGAGCGGGGGTCCTGGCTACATTGTGAAGAAGTCTCAGGCGGGAGCCGTTGTTGTTGTTGTAACCCGGGGGGCCAGGGACCCAGTTTGAGCATCAAGACTCTCCCTGTCAAAAAGCAAGGTGCGAGCGTCGAGGGGCACACTTTGATAGGGAAAAAGCAGTATACACCAGTGGGGGGATCAACAATAATCAATCTTTAGAGATGAGAGTTCAACGACAGCATCAACAACAGCAGCAGCAACAGCAACACCACACGCAAATACAAACATAAACACAAAAACAGCAACAGCAACAACAACAACAAGCATTATAATAATGTTCGTTCTTGTCGGCCCGCGTGTCATTCAACAGGAATATCCCAAACCTTCGATACCCGCTCTCTTCGTCTTCGATCGTACCCCTTGGTGATCTAGGGCTCCCAACTTCGCGCTTCGCGCTCCGCGAAGCGCGAATAACTTCGCGCTCTCGCGCCGCCCCCCCAAAGGGAGAAAAGGAGGACGAGGAGGAGGGGGAGAAGGAACGAGGACCGCGAAGCGCGAAGCGCGAATAACTTCGCGCCCTCGTGGGAGCCCTTGGTGATATACATTTCGTACCTGCACTGTGTATCCCGTGCAGCCCCTAAGGCAGGGGAAGAGAGGACGGATGGAAGGAAGGGACAAGGGGGAGGGAGAAGTATGGAGCACGATAGAGAGTAGCAGAAGGGGGCCTGGGAGCAGAGAGCACGTGGCAGAACCAGACGGGCAGATCGGGCGGGTAGACCCTAACGGGCGGGTCGGGAGGGCGGGCCCAGGCGGTGAGGTCGAGCAGCAGGCGGGTTGTTGAAGCGTGTTTCTGCATGGATCGCGAGGAAATCTCGAGCGATAGCGCGATTCCCAAATGAATCGTGAGGCAATCCGCAGCGGGGGCGTGATTCCTGAGTGTCGAAGGCGCGGCGCCTGCATAAATTGCGAGGAAGTCCCGCACGAGAGCGCGCACCCTGCACAAATTGTAAATAACTCCCGCGCGGAAGCGCCATTTGGGAATACATTGTGAGGAAGTATCAGGCGGGAGCCATCGTTGCTGCAAACCGGGAGCAAAGACATAACTAATTCTGAGACCTGAGACTTTCCCTGATAACAAACAGGGTGCGAGCCCCGGGAAGGGCACTTCGATTGAAAAAAACACCATGCGCCCAGGAGGGGAGGATCAACAATACTTTTTCGTCAACAATGAGAATTCAAAACAGCAACAACAACAACAACAACAACAACAACACCAACAACAACAACAACAACAACAACAACAACAACAACAACAGCAGCAGCAGCAGCAGCAGCAGCAACAACAACAACAACAACAACAACAACAACAACAACAACAACAACGACAACAGCAGCAGCAACAACAACAATCACAACAACGACGACGACGACGACGACGACGACGACGACGACGGCGGCGACGACGACAACAACAACAAGTGAACACATGGAATGTGAAAGCCAGAGCATCACGTGGCATTGTTTTGGCCGCGCGCGCTACGTATGTACAGCGGGCTTGCGGCAGCAACCCCAGCAGTCTGCACAGCCGGCCGAGTCTCAGGCCTCCCCACCGAAAACGCGATCCCGCATCACTCCATCCGTGCTTCCCTCTCTCACGCCCCATCTCTCATGCCTCCACCACCTCGAATTCCTCCTCCTCCTGCTCCTTCTCATCCTCGCCACGGCATCCTCCTGCTCCGACTCCTGCTCTTGCCTAAATTGCTGATGCTGCTGCTCCGCCTCCTCCTCCACCTCATCTTCATCCTCAATATCCCGTTCTTGCTTCTCGCAATCCTCACCTTCATTATCCTCATGCCCCCCATCTGTTTGCAGACCTGCCAACCGGAAGACAGAGGCCGAGGCGGAGGAGGAGCCGTGCGGCAAATAGAGACTGAATCAAAACAACATGTCAAATGATGCGGCGTCCTGCAAAATCAGAACGACCTTCAACTTTGCCCGACGATCAACCCCTCCCCAACACTCCCTAAAGCCCCCCACTGTGCACTCGCACGCTGGAGGGTGTCGAAGTCCCAGAATATGTCTGGTGACGCTTCTGCAGTTTCCAGGAGCGACGTACATACCCGTGTCAGAGATCGCCATCCACCCTTTCATTCCTGACGCTGTTCGCGGCCCCGCGACGTGCCCAAGATCGTCCCAAGACGACTGCAGCCCCCCCCCCCCAGACCAGTCCCAAACGGCCTGGAGATCTCCTAGAGGTCCCACGATGCCTCCAAGAGCCTTCAAAAACCCTCATAAGCCCGCACAGAGGCATCCAAGGAGCTCGCCAGAAGGACCCTGGGAGGCCAGAAACACTGGATCATAGAAAATGCGTAATGTTCCAAGGCAGCCGCAGGACGATTCCAGGGGGCTTCAAGACAGCTGCAGAGGGCCCGAGCAAGCCCCCAGGACGGCACAAGACGCCTCTTAGGGCCTCCCTTGGGCCTGTTGGGGGCCACTTGTGGCCGCTCGGGGGACTCTTGGGGGCCTCTTGGTTGGCCTCCTGAGGCCGCTGGCTGAGCGCGACAGCTGGGGGAGCATCAACGATGGTAGGGCGCTTCTCGGCCGCGTGGGTAAAGGGTCAGAGGACGGGCTGCTGCGGTGCGGGCGACATGGTCACGAAGCAGATGTCGGTGCCCAGGTCTGGGACGAAGGGGCTCGAGGTGAGGCGACTTTCGCCTACGACGTCACCGTACTTGGAGAACGTGGAGGGCCGGATGCTGCGGACGATCGACGAAATCGACTGGGACAAGCACCAACACACGTGCAACTACAACGACACTGAATGGAGGACTCCCCAGAACCGTGCGGCTCAGGGCGTACGGGGGGGGGGCGGGCATCCTTGACAGGTTCTGCAGGCTGGGGTGGAACAGGAAGCTGGCCGACCAAGGCGTGCTGCAGGAGCTCTCGCCCATGCAGCCGTGGCGTTACGCCGCGCGGCGGGGGGGGGTGGTGGAGAAGCCGACGGAGAAGAACGTGGGGAGCGTGGCCGTTGCCACTGTGATGGGGCACTCGTGGGCCGTCACGGACGTCGTGAAGGAGGGGTGCAGGGGTGCGACGTGGGCGAGCTGGCGTACGGGAGGCATATCCCCATCATTCGAGGCGTGTCAGAAAAATACTGCTGCTCTCGATCTATGTCACGTCCAACCTGGAGACTGACTGGGCCTCGCGCGCCAACAGGACGGATGATTCCGAGATCGGATGCGGGGTTGCGCAGACGGATGTACAGGCGAGCGAGTGCAGACAAGATGTGGTGAAGGGAGACTTCCAGACTTGGGCCGTCAGGAGCGACGAGGCGTTCTAGGAGATCAAACAGGATGTGGAGTTGGCGGGCGAGGGGGGGCGACGAGGGACCTCCATCTGGGCACCCAGGTTTCCTGTGGCCCCACTCTGGGGTCGAGCGGACCTTCGACGACCTGGTCGCGTCAACATCCACCCATAGTGCAAAGCCTCGGGCCTGCTGAGGGGTGCCAACTTCGAGCTGCTGGTACCGTCAGAGCTGGGGAGACTCTCCGGGCGCATCGGGAGGAGAAGATGGTGGCTCATCCATGCGGCACCCACAAGGGACATCCTGGCGCAGTACCTGTCGCTGGAGGTGGCCAGACTCTGCCACCGCGAGGGGCTGGCCTTCACGGCGCCGGTGCAGGACATCGGGGATGTTGGGTACACGTGGATGCGCTTCTTGGAGGTGAGGTGCAGGGCGTGCTGGAGGACCAGTGCAAGACGGAGTTCTGGGAAGCGACCCTGGTCACGAAAGACAGCCGCCTCGGGCAGCTGGAAGCGAAGATCGAGGAGGTGAGCGACGCGACGAAGACGGCGACGGCCCGGCGACGGCCTTCAGCTGTGGTGCAGGCTGGAGGGCAGCACACTGCAGAGTGGCCGGCAGCATCGAGCCCGCCTGGTCCAGGATCGCTCCTGGCGCCCAGGGCAGGACCAAAACGGGGGTATCGAAGGCTCAACCACATCCTCGAGCTACGGACCATCACAGGCACTGCTGCGACACATCTCGCTGTCGACGCGCATGTGGGGCAAGCGGGTCCTGGGGGTGCTACGAAGGGGAGATCTTCTGCGAAGAGACTCCTACACTTTGCGAGACAGGCGGCGGCGGTGGTGCTGGTGTGCGGGACCAGAGTTCCTTGAGGTGGGCTGCCTCGGAGGACAATGCAGCAGACGGACCCAGTCGGGGTCTGGACATCTAGGTGCGGCGGACGCTACGCAGGAGGAGCATCGATGGCGACACACCCCGAAGCTTCTGAGGACAATGATCGGCGAGTCCGCGAAGAAGGCCAAAAACCCTGCCAAATGGTTCCGCGCACCTGGTCGATGCCGGGCCCATGGGCCCTTGAGGTGCCTGAAGGGTCTCGGGGGACTCACTGTTGGTGGGGGTCCCGGGTCTGAGCCGTTCAGGGTGTTGCCCCCATGCCCGCGCATCACGGCGTCGGCGCAAAGTGGGTGGTGAGGTTTGTATCCACTCTCCACGGAGCGGCTGTCAGGGCCCGACCGTCCAGGACGCTGCTGCTGGTCTTCCTGATGCTGCACGCGGGCGACGGAGTGAGGACTACTTCGAGGCCACCGCCGCTTAAAAGGCAAAGGTGTACTGGCGCGGAAGACAGCGCCCGAGCAGGAGCTGCAGTTCAACAAATCCACGCAGGCGATGACAAACCAAACGTGGTTTACGAGAAAGCGGTCCGAAAGTTCCCGATCGACGCCAAGAGGACGAACACGCCGTTCCACTCAGTCTTTCTACGCGACGAGGCGATGGCCTCCTAACTGGTCGACTTGTGCTACGTGAGGGGCTTGAGCTACACTCGATGGAGTCTGCTGTTCAACGGTTTCATGCACATCTGCGAGGATCACAAGAATTTCGTACCACACCTGGCGAGGGCCCTCCAAGGTCCGGCGCGACATTAGCAGGGGCAAGAGTGTCAACCAATACCCCAGCAAGGACTCGTCCCCATCATCCCTAAACATGGTCACGCCGGCAACGGTTTGGAGGCCTGTGCGGTGGTGGTCCAGCTATACGGGTGGATGCGTGAGCAGGACTGCGCGCAACTGAGAAAGGCAGACATCTCATCAAGGCGGGATGGTGCTTCTGTTGGGAAACCGCTCGAGCGGTGAGAAAGTGAAGACGGGATCGGGTCGAGGAGTTGGCATGATGATGGAGCTAACTAAATGTATCCTGGAGTGTCCCAGACAAGACGTCGAAGGAAACGACCTAGTCATTCCTATAGCCCCCGACAAGGACCGACGGGCTTGGAACGCATCTCTCGCGAGGCTGGAACTGGCGGCCCTTGGACCGCAACACGAGACCAGACATGCGGGAGCAGTCCATTACATGGCTAACGGAGGAGACCTGGAGACAGCGAGGATGCGAGGACGCTGAACCACTTCCAGCGCGCTCCAGCGCTTCACTGAGACGCACGTCCTCATCCAACGACGCTCGCTTCTCCAGGACCAGCTGATCAAGAAGGGCGAGCGGCTCTGGCAGGCCCCAGGCAAGTCGTCAGGCGATGCGATGGGGAATCCCAAGGCGGCGAGTAGGCCGCTCAGCTCTCGAGTGACTGGGCGTCCGAGACATGTACCTGTCACTGCACCGACCTTGCAGACGTGCTGCAGCGGACTTCTGCGTGGACTCCTGTCGGTGCAAAGCCCCGGAGCGGCGGGCGAAGAACGAAGTGAACTTCACTTGGATGCTTTGTAGTCATCATTCCTGGCCCAAGAACTCCGCACGAAATTCACTTCGAAATCCGGAACGAAACTCTCTGGGACAATCCGGGCCCGTCCAATTGTTTTCCGAACGAGATCCGCTCGGTGACAAGCTCGAGCTAGGCTTTGCGGCTTCCGAGGCAAGACCAGAACTGGGACGGCACAGGAGGGGAGCTATAAAGCCCCCTTTGTGCCTCCCTCTCTTGTGCCCAATCTCGGGTGTGCCCAATCTCCTCGTGCCCAATATCCTTGTGTCTCCTTGGTTTTCTCAGGTGTTCCGCACTCCGAGCTTTATCTACAAGGGGATATGTGCCAAAAGCTGGGGGGTAGTGGGCTTGGTATGTGATCTCTTCTTTGTTCTTCCTCCCTCGCGACATACAATACCAATGTCGTTTCGATAGGGCCTTCAGCCAGAAGAAGCTCCTGGGCCTGTGCGGAGTTGTGCACTGCACTGTGCTCTTGACACGGCCCGAGAAGACCCGTGAAGGTCATGCACCTGCTGGTCTTTTAAAGGTGCCGTGATTTGGGGCACGCCCTCGAATGCCACGAAGAATTTCGAGGGCAGCATGCTCGTCTGGTTCACGCTCGGCCCTGCATCTGCGTATGGATGTCTAGCTTGATCTCTGTTCTCTCTCGACGCTTTGGACTGTTACCAGCCGGAGGTCTGGTGGCCCCTCCGCCTGCCCCCCTAACTGGAGGAGCCCAGGGACACCAATAAATAAACACAAATCCCAAGATACTCCATATTCCGCTATTTTCTGGATGTCCGTCTTCCCCTCCACTTCCCATAGTTTCAATACTTTACTGGATTCGGCGACTATTTGTGTCTGTGTGTTCTTTCCCCTCCTGACTAACTCTGGCAAAGGGGGTCCCCTGCTGAGCTTCGCGTCCACGGCTCAGACTCCGATTGGGCTCCCCAGGGAGCCCCGCGGCAGGGCGCTACGGTGCGCCGGCGTCCGGCCGAGAGAACGCCAGACAGTGCCAGCGACCAAGGGGTCCAGCGGCCAGGACAAATGCAGACCACGAGTTTCGCCACCCTGGGCCTCCACGAGCCGTCGTGCCGGGGGCGTCCGAGAGGGAGGCGTCCAGGAGGGGGGGTTGCAAATCATGGCCCGAGGCATGTGCGCGGCCACAGCGGGGCCCAGGAGACGCATCGAAAGAAGAATGGGGCGACATGAAATCCTGGGAGATACGATGGCTGGGAGTGCCACGTGGGACCTGCTCTAGCACAGGAGCATACCGTGGACGGATCTGCCGTGTCTCCGACCTTACACTGCGCCAAACGCAACGACCGCGTTATCTATGGACGTGTCCTTAGGTCGGGCATGTCCTCCTACAGGCGGATTTGGGAAGGAAACTAAGAAATAGTCAAAACTACTTAAAACATAATCCAAACAAGACAAATACTAAACAAACGTTCTCATACGATGTTTTGAATATTCCACCTGTAGAGGGACCCGCCCGCCTTAAACGTATCCACCATACATGTGTCTACAAGTATGTGCGCGTCGCTTGGTGCTCGGGGCATAGCTTTCGCCTCTGGCGGCCGATCGCGACAATCCGAGCCCCGGAAGGCTCTCGGCGAGGCGCAGCTGCTGGAGAGCATCCCGAGGCTAGAAAACCGCCGCGACCCGGCGAAAACTGCCGAAAACCTCGAACCTGGAACCCTCGTCCCCCCCCATCCCCCAGACCCCCGACATCATGACTTTGGTCATAACGTCGACCCCAAAGGTCTCGACCCGTTCCCTGGGACCAGTTTGTCATCCCGAGTCGTTGATGCGCGGTCCTGGGGCTCAGCGAGGGCCCCCAGAGGCCGGATAAATCTCAAAAAACCTTCCGTTGTCCTTTTCTCAATGCTCGAGGGGGCCTGGGTCCCCACCCATCGCCGTCGCCGCCGAGCGCCGCCACGCGCCGCAGCCGCGCGCCTCCGCGCGCCCGCCACGGCGCGCCCTCTACCAGCAGCGCCAGCTTGCGTTCGGGCGCGGCGATGTCGACGGCTGCAGCAGGCGGCGCCGCCGCTTCGTCTCACAGTGAGGGGCAACGTTCCTGGACCCCCTCGAGCAATGGCCATGAAAAGAGCACGACGGAAGGCTCTTGTTGTTAATCCCGGCCTCTGGGGCCCTCCCCAGGCCTCGGGACCGTCAAAAATCGACTCGGGATGAAAAACCGTTCCCGGGGAATGGGTCGAGACATCTGGGATCGACGCTACGGAAAAAAATCCTTGCGAAGGACACAACCATATGGAATCGTGATTGAAGCGGTGTGGGTGCCGCTTTCGGTGGAGCTCCCTACGACGCCACAAAACGCGCGAGGGACGTGCAGTAGTGGGTGGGGGCTGACGCATGCGGGCGGTGCCCCTCGCTGGAGCTCCCTATGGGGCCAGGAAGCGCTGTACTTGTTTGGGGAGACGCATGCAGTTGGTGCCACTGGGGTTTTCCTGTGGAGCTCCCTTCGGGGCCACGAAGCACTGCAGCACTGTACTGGGTGGAGCTCTCTATGGGGCCACGAAACGCTGTACTGGGGGGGGGACGCATGCGGGCGGTGCCACTGGGGCCTTCGGTGGACCTCCCTGTGGGCCCACGGAGCGCTGTACTGGGTGGGGGGTCGCATGCGGGCGGATTACTGGAGCTCCCTACGGGACACGAAACGCTGCACCAGGTGGAGGGAACGCATGCGGGCTGTGCCTCTGGGGCTTGGTGGAGCTCCCAATCAATGAGTCCGCGAGAAGCACTACTTGGTGGTGGACGACGCATGCGGGCGGTGCCACTGGGGTCGTTCTGTGGAGCTCCCTGCGGGGCCACGAAACGCTGTATTGGGTGGTGGCTGACGCATGCGGGCGGTGCCACTGGGGCCGTCGGTGGAGTTCCCTATGGGGCCACGAAACGCTGTACTGGGTGGTGGCTGACGCATGCGGGCGGTTCCACCAGGACCTTCTGTGGAGCTCCCTATGGGACCACGAAACGCTGTACTCGGTGGTGGCTGACTCATTCCGTTGGTGCCATTGGGGCCTTCGGTAGAGCCCCTGATGAGGCCACGAAACGCTGTGCTGGGTGGTGGCTGACGCATGCGGTCGGTGCCATTGGGGCCTTCTGTAGAGCCCCTGATGAGGCCACGAAACGCTGTGTTGGGTGGTGGTTGACGCATGCGGGCGGTGCCACTGAGGCCTTCGGTGGAACTCCCGTACTGGGTGGTGGCTGACGCATGCGGGCGGTGCCACTGGGGCCGTCGGTGGAGTTCCCTATGGGGCCACGAAACACTGTGCTGGGTGGTGGCTAACGCATGCGGGTGGTCCCAGTTGGACCTTCGGTGGAGCTCCCTATGGGGCCATGAAACGCTGTGCTGGGTGGTGGCTGACGCATGCGGGCGGTGCCACTGGGGCCTTCGGTGGAGCAACGCTGTACTGGGTGGGTGAAACGCAGAGAGGAGGGAGGAGGGGAAGGAGGAGGAGGACGAGGTAGGAGGGGAAGGAGAAGGAGGCGGGAGGAGGAGGAGAACGCGGGGCGCCGTCTCTTCAAAACGAGAACCCAACACCACGGGATGGTTGGGAACGATGTCGGAGGTCTGGGTTGCGGTCAGGACCTTTTGCATAGCGTGTCGCGGCGGCCCCAGCGAATGGCCATGCCTTGCAAGCGGGTGGCGTGCCGCTCGGCTCCCCTCCGCGGGGCCCGAGGCTGGGAGAAACTCGGGGGGTTGACGCCCAGGGACTGGGACGGGGTTAGCGTGTCGCGCCGAAGGGTGATGGGCCAGGGCCCGAACCAGCGGCGCGACACTCTGAGCTATGGTTCCGGACCGCAGGGGGGGGGGACCAGCTCAGCGGGGGAAACATCGAGCTGGAATCAGCGGTACATCGCCGGTTGACTGGCGATAGGCCCCCGATAGCGACACCGCACGTTCCTGGGCAGGCTGGGGCATCAGGCCACCATCGGCGATCAATGGCCGATGGGGGGTCGATGCGTTGCCCCCCGAGCCTGTCCCCCCACCCCCAGCGTTGCCCCTGACCCAGGCCTCCGACGCTGTGATCTTCTCAATCGTGGCGCTCTCCTTTTCACTTCGGCCGCTTCTGAGACAACTTATCGTGGACCTCCTGCACCATCTTGTTGGCTCTTGCGAATCGACGCTGATCGACGCTCGCCGACGCTGATCGACGCTCGCCGACGCTCAATCGACGCTCATCGACGCTAATCGATGCCACATCGGATGCATCTCATCGATTACCAAACGCTAATCGACGCTAGTGCGCCCCAAAGACGGCGTTTTTCGGCTACACGCAAGAGTGACCCCGAGAGGGTCCCGTGACGACCCAACGGCCCGAGGACCCCCCAAGACGTCCCAAGACCGCCAAAAGCGGGCTCCGACATGGCCCCAAGATGCGACCAGACGAGCCCCGGAGGCCGAAGTCGAGGGGAAACGCACGGAGACGGAAAGGAATCTATCCGCCCGACGGCTCGGGCCTCCCTCCCCCCCCCCTTGCCCAGAGCAGGGTGGGAAGCTGCGCAGGTGGGTCGGCATGGATTCACACATACTCCTCCTCCTCCTCCTCCTCCTCCTCCTCCTCCTCCTCCTCCTCCTCCTCCTCCTCCTCCTCCTCCTCCTCCTCCTCTCCTCCTCCTCCTCCTCCTCCTCCTCTCCTCCTCCTCCTCCTCCTCCTCCTCCTCCTCCTCCTCCTCCTCCTCCTCCTCCTCTCCAGGAGCGACAGGCCCTTTCCGCTCACGAACGCCAGACTGTCTCCGCCACAGCCCCACAGTGGCTGGCGAATGCGTCTGGCGGGGGGCGGGACAGGGAACATGCGTCCACTCCGCTCCGCGTTCTTCGGCGACCTTCGGCTGGACGCCCTCATTCGGGCACGCGCTCACATGGATTACGAGTCCGTGGATCTGGCGTGTGGGCACCAGATCCACGGATCGGGGAATAAACCGAAACGTGAGGCCAACGCCGCCTGCTTTCCCGATGGAGCGCGCAGATAACGCACGGGAGCGGCAGCCGTTGCTGATCCACACGGCTTGATCCATGCCTGTGCCTCCGTGACTCATGCGCCGTCGTACACTGGCCCCCCTGCTCTCCTTCGCCCCCGCATCCTAGAGGCCTCCAAAGTGGGGTCCGAGCAGATAGGTCCGGTGGATCGCGCCGCATCGCCGATGCATCGCCGATGCATCGGAGACGCTGGCGTGGAGAAAGTCGGGCTCCACATCGAGCCGCATCGCCGATGCATCGGCGATGCGGCGCGATCCTCCGACCCCATCTGCTCGGACACCATCCAGGAGGTCCAGACATCCCCTCGCGCGAGCGGGTCCCGCAGGTCTCGGCCCGGGCGCCTCACGCGGCGGCGTGCCGTGCCGCAGCCAGGTCCGCCTCGACGGTGTCCTGGGCGGCGCTGCCGGGACCCCCCCTGGCTGCACGCGGGAGAAACCCTGGGCAACAGGGACCTCCGGCGCGCGGCTTGCAGATATCGCTGCATGCTGTGAGACAGCACAGTCGGGCGATCGGGGCAGGATGCGCGATAAGAATGCAAGCCCCTTGGACGCCCATGTTGAAGCTTTTCGAGCGGGGCTGGCCATCGAAAGTGGTTGAGGATGGACCGAAGATGACCGAAAAGGCCAGGATGCAAGGATACCCGTGGTAAGTCGCGCATCCATACTATCAGTTTTGACTGTAAGGAACGAAGCTCCTGCTAGGCCCCACAAGCGCGAGGAGCGCTAGAGCAACAGCCATGGAAGGACCCGGACAACATCGAGCCCCCTCCGAACCCGAACCGTTCCTCGTGTCCGCGTCTCGGCTGTCGCAGCTTGCGTGCTCAGGTCTGCCGTCCCCCACGCCCCCCGAGAGCCACGCACCAGAGGCTCCAGCGGCCATCCTGGCCTCTGGCGCGCCGAGATCGCCTCCCCGCACCCGCCCCGCGCGAGCGGCAGCTGCCATGTGGACGCCGTCGCCGTCGCCGGTCGCGTCGGGCTGCTTGTGCTTCTCACCCCGCCTGGGCCTGGTGCCCCTGCGCGAGTGCGCGCGAGGCCAGCCCGGGCATGTTGCCTCCCTTTGGGCTCCTGGGGGCCCGTGCCTAGTCTCGGGGCCACCGAAAAGGGCGGAGGCGGGAGACGGAGAGCTGCCCCCTGGTCTGGAGGTTCGACTCGAGAAAAGGTATTCCAGATCTTGTAGAACAAGGGAGGGGGGATCAAAACCCTCCCAGGCGAGCAGTTCCAGACACCCCCCTCAGACCAGGCATGACAGGGCGGCCTCTTGCCCAGACTCCACTGGAACCATCCAAGACAGCTCAAACCAGACCCCCCCCCCCAAATGTGACACCCCCACTTAAAATTACGAAATCGGGAGTGCCCGTCGGTCGGAAGAAAATAAGTAGCTGGATCTCCGCCCGCCCCTAAAGAAACGGGAAGAAGGAGACCACTCGATCCTTGAAGCAGGATTGCGCCTAAAGTAGATCGGAGTCCGAGAGGCCTGCCTTCAACGACCAGCGGGCAACCTCGTCGGATGTCTTTGCCCATCTCGCTACCACGACTTCAGTGTTGCCAGAAGTGCCCCTGGCCCAAGGTGACCCCAGGACTTCCAGGAGGGCCTGGATGGCCCCCAGAGCACCCCTCTAGAGGCACAGAGGACCCCACGGGTTTCAAGCACAGCGCGAAAAGGTGGGAGCACCCTGGGCCAGGGTCACCTCTGGCAACCCCCGAACGACTGCCTCCACCTCGCCCTGCAGGCGCGCGCACTGCCGAGGAAGGCTCGAGCAGCATCAGCGCTAAGCAGTGCGGTCAGAATCTCTTGCTTAGCGCGTCGCGGCGACGGCCCCAGTGACACGCTATGCTCTGCGAGCCGTGAGCGCGTCGCTCCGCTCCGCGGGGCGGGAGGCTAGGGAAACGCTCGGGGCGCGGACGCTTGGGGAAGGGGGACGTGGATAGCATGCCGCGCCGAGCCGAAGCCGGGTGGGCCAGAGCCGGCGGAGCGACATTATCCCGACGCAAAGCAGCAAAACAAGTAAGAGTAGTGCACTGATGGCCCCTCCCGAAAAACAGCGATGGCTCAAACAACGCGATAGTATGTGATACATTAACAACATGTCAATGTTGATGGTGTTCGTCGGTGATGCTCTTGCTTGCTCGAAATACTCCACTTGCGCAACGCAAAATGATACACTGCTACACGCTACACGCGGCGCAAAAGTTCCCGACCGTGTTACCCCCGCTCCTGGCGGCCTCCCACACGGAGCCAAAACGAGCGGGGTCGGAGATCGCACCGCATCACCGCGACTGCCCGAGCAGCGATGGCAGCCTCGAGGCTGCCACCTCCACGCTGGCAGGACCGCGTGACTGCCGCCGGCCGCTCGATCTGGCGGTCATGGGGACAGCGATGCCCCGCCTGCCAGAACCTCCCATGAACACCTCCAACTGCCATGGCGTTTCCGAAGGCAACCTCCTAGGACATCCTGATGGAGGAGATCAGGAAAAGCAGCGCATCGTTCGAGAGGTCAGCTTATCTTTGCAGGCCCTCTTGTCCTCCCAGAGCCCTGCTGCACTCCCAAAGGTGCCAGCTTCCCTGCGGAACCATCCTTCGAAAGGCTGAGACCCAACCAATGGCGGTCACTCCCTTCTTGAAGTTTTCGCCGACGGTTTGCGAAGCCTTTGAGCAGAGCACAACATGGCAAGCTTCAAACACGCGCGCGGAGCTCCTGGACTACGAAGCGGTACACCTGCACTCTGCGGCGCTGCCCCCACCTTTGGTGGCGCCATCGAGGGAGGAAGGTCGGCATTCAAATGGCCGAAATCGAAAACCCAAAATCAAAATCTCACCATGAACATGTTTGGTGGGCCTTGACTTACGTATGCTGCCGTCCGCCAAACTTCACACAAGGTATCCGCTCACGGCATAGGGAAACTCCCGTTTGCCATATGGCATGCTCTCGGTTAGATCGCTGGAGGTGGCGAGGGCCGTGGAATCGGAGGGAGGAACGCAGGTAGTGACGGGGAGGGGAAGTAATGCGAGTTGGAAGTGGAGAGCGATAACTTTAGGCTGGCGGAAATACAGCAGCTGTGGGTGTCGTCTTCCATGGAGCTCCCCCTGGGGCCACGAAACGCTGTACTGGGCGAGGGAAGCGCATGCGAGTTCTGCCACTGGGACCATCGGTGGGCGGGGGAACCGCATGCGAGTTCCGCCACTGGGGCCCCCCTCTGGGGCCTCGAAACGCTGTACTGGGCGGGGGAAGCGCACGCGGACTGCGCCACTGGGACCTTCGGTGGAGCTCTCTATGGGGCAACGAAGCGCGATACTGGGTGGAGGAAGCGCACGCGGACTGCGCCACGGTGACCTTCGGTGGAGCTCTGTATTGGGCGACGAAACGCTACACTGGGCGGGGGAACCGCATGCGGACTGCGCCACTGGGAGCTTCAGTGGAGCTCTCTATGGGGCGACGAAACGTTGCACTGGGCGGGGGGACCGCATGCGGACTGCGCCACCGGGACCTGCGGTGGAGTTCCCGATGGGGCCACGAGGCGCTGTACTGGGTGGGGGAACCGCATGCGGACTGCGCCACTGGGAGCTTCAGTGGAGCTCTCTATGGGGCGACGAAACGTTGCTCTGGGCGGGGGAAACGCGGACTGCGCCGCCGGGACCTTCGGTGGAGATCCCTCTGGGACCACGAAGCGCTGTACTGGGTTGAAAAACCGCATGCGGACTGCGCCACTGGGATCTTCGGTGGAGCTCTCTATGGGGCGACGAAACGTTGCACTGGGCGGGGGAACCGCATGCGGACTGCGCCACTGGGACCTTCGGTGAAGCTCCCTCCAGGGCCACGAAGCGTAGAAATGGGTGGGGGAACCGCATGCCAACTGCGCCACTGAGACCTTCGGTGGAGCCCCTTTCTGGGGACACGAAACGCTTTACTGGACGGAGGAAACGCATGCGGACTGCGCCACGGAGACCTTCGACGGAGGTCTTTATAGGGCGACGGAACGTTGGATTTGGCGGGGAAACCGCATGCGAGCTCCGCCACTGCGACCTTCGATTGAGCCCCGTACGGGGCCAAGAAATGCTGCACTGGGCGCAAGAACCGCATGCGAGTTCCGCCACTGTGACCTTCGGTGGAGCTCCCCTCTGGGGCCACGAAACGCTGCACTGGGCGGGGGAAGCGCATGCGGACTGCGCCACGGAGACCTTCGGTGGAGCTCCCTCTGGGGCCACGAAGCGCTGTACTGGGTGGGGAAAACGCATGCGGACTGCGCCACTGGGACCTTCGGTGGAGTTTTCCATGGGGCGACGAAGCGCTGCACTGGGCGGGGGAGCCGCATGCGGACTGCGCCACTGGGACCTTCGGTGACGCTCCCTCTGGGGCCACGAAGCGCTGTACTGGGCGGGAGAACCGCATGCAAACTGCGCCACTGGGACCTTCGGTGGAGCTCCTTTTGGGGCCACGAAACGTTGTACTGGGTGGTGGAACCGCATGCGGACTGCGCCACTCGGACCGTCGTCGGAGTTCCCTCTGGGGCAATCAGATACTGCACTGGGCGGGGGAGACGCGTGCGAACTGATGATAATGGGAGGAAGGAGAAGGGGGAGGAGGAAGGAGAAGGGGGAGGAGGATGAGAGGAGAGGAGAGGAGGAGAAGGAACGCGGGGCGCTGTCCCTTCAAAACAGGGACCCAACACCACAGGATGGCTGGGAAAATGCGAGGAATGGGATGGGGAGGAGGGAAAGGGATGGGACGGTGGTTTGGAGGAACGTCGCGCGGAACAACCAACTCCCACATTCCCTTCACACGAGCAAATAAAGGAAATACTATTCGCTCTACAGAGCAACGGGCAGACGGACAAGATCCTGGCGAAGGACCCAACCATATGCAGCTGCGAGTAGCGCAAGACAAAAGATACGGAGGAAGGTGGCGACCACGAGGACTGGGACAGGACACACCTTGTTGAACCTCCCTCCGCTTGTTCCCCCAATCCTTGCCGCCGACTTCGAGGTGCCAATCCATCGCCTGACGCAAAGGCTCCAGCACCTGCCGAATAATCACCACTCTGTCCAACGGCGACGTGCCCATCCAATCTCCAGCGGCACCGCGACGGCACTCATTCTCAAGTCGCTGCGCATTGAAATATCCAGGGTCGCCGCCGCTGGCAGCCGCAGCCTCTGCAGCGCCGCCCTCGTTGCCATCGGCGCCACCTGGATCGGCGGCAGCCGGCCGAGCCCCGCCATCGCCCCGCCGAGGTCGCTTCTCGAAGCCCTGAGCCATCTCGTTTGCCCAGATTGCCCAGACAGCAAAGCCCAAGCCGTGAACGCCATCAAAAAGGATGAATTCGCCCATGGCAGCGACGCACCCCATCCAACTGCCCCCCGGCCATCGGGCGAATCGAGCTCCCAGGAGGACGGCCTCCAGAGCCTCCGACACCTACTTCTGATCACACTCTCGTCTATGTCGATCCCCTCGGGAATCCAAAGGCCGACGCGCCCTCGGCCCGTCCGGCCCCCGCTCGGCAAGCGGTGCAAAACGGTCTTCTTCTCGATAAATCGCCCCCCCCCCCCCCCTCGCGAGCGAAAGGCAAAGCGCGCGCCGCTTGCGCGGCGCTGCTTCCGGGGGGAGCTCTGCGGACGCGGATCCATTGTTCAACAGCAGCGCAGAATACCCGACAGGAGCGAGAGAGGCCCGAGCCTTCGTCGACGGCAAGGGCGCAGTTGATCTGCCCAGAGATGTCGGAGTCTGCGAGGGCGGAGGTGCGCTTGAACACGTTCGCGAGGCAATGCATGGAGCTCGCGAAGCCGATCTTGCCCCGGCCGCTGCCCCGTCGGTCAGCCCCGACTCGCGCCTCGCAGCGAGCTCTCCGGCCAGCGCCGCACGGGGCGGACGACCCCGTCTTGCGCGCGAACTCCTATGCAGCTGTCCGAGGCGAACTGGCGCGACGTTGGTCTGCCTCTCGGAGACACCCCCCCGCGCTGCGATCCAACCACTGAGGCGGGGCACTGGACTGGCCGACGGCGCCGACGAACTCGCCCGTGCTGGATTTCAACAGGCATCCAAACCTCGACGAGCTCTGCAACAGCTTGATTTCAGTTCTCCCCAAACTCGGCTGCCCTCGAGCGCGAGATTTATCCACGCGGCACACCGCCAGCTGCCGTTGTCCACCGGGCCGAAGCAGGGCCACTGCATCACGGCCATGCGCATTGAACGAATCGTCCACGGAAGGCTTCATCGGCGCCTCGTCGTATCTGACAGCCTCGGCGCAGTGAAACAAGTTTCGGGAGCTGCACTTGCCAAACAGCCCCCAATGCGATGTTCTGGCCGCGCTCGACATGGCCGATGGCGCTGGCAAGGGCGATGACATACTCGGCTTGCCTGACTGGGGCAACGCCTACAGCATCTTGGATCGAGGCCTTCGACGTCGCCCTGTCAGCTAGACCGGCCAAAGCGTCCATCAAAATGCGGTTGAGCTTAGCGGGCACGTCGTCGGCTGCTTCCTGCTACTCCACCGTGAGCGTTGCCATGCGGACGCACGGGAGCAATGGACTTGTCGCGCCCGCGCCCGCGCCCTCGACGACGCGCCCGGGCGCCGCCGGCAACTTCGACCCGGGCGGGCGCCGGGCCAAGGGCAGCGCCAAGACGCTGGCTCGGCCGGCGAGATCGATCGCAGCAGCAATTCCCCGGCGGCCCGCTCTTCGGGGCGGACTTGGCCCGCCGCCCGCGGCGCCCGCGGGGCCGCGGGGAGGCGGGGGGGCCCCCCCGCGACTTCGGCGAGCACGTCGCCCCAGCCATCCGCCATCTCTGTTCTTTCGCAAGAAACATTAACAAGAAGTGCCTCCTGGACGACAGGCCGCGCGTGCTTGAGTCAAAGCGGCAACGCGCGGCGACGATGATGGCGACGATGCTGCCGCTGGACATGGGGGGCAGCGTCGCCCCGGACCCCCAGCGGAGGGACAAAGGGTGATTGCGCCCCCAAAATCACAGCCCCTCCTTCCTGCCACATGCCCCCCCCTGCCCATCCCCGCCCAGCCCCCCTCTACATGTTCGCCCCTCCTCCTCGCATACTACCCCTCTATCAAAACAGAGCATCGCGGACGTCGCGCCGGCGCGCGCCCTGCCCGAGGGGCGCGAGGGGGCGACCTGAAAAGGCCCAGGTGGAATCAGACGGGAGAGGAGCTGAACCCCGCCAAACTAGGCATCACGTTCAACGCGCGCGTAGGTCATCGGGGAAAAGGGCGCGCCGCGCACCCGAGGCAGACCCAGCAAAACGTTAGAACTCTTATGTTGTACAAATGCGAACTGATACGAACGAATGATTTTCTAATGTGTTTCTAAACTGTTTTGAGACTACGTCGAAAACGTGGCAAACGACTGCCCGTGAGACTCCCGATGGGAATGTCCGGGAAGTTATCATCTTCACAGCTGGAGGAGGCCACGCATATCATAACTTTGGGGCGGGTCCGCGGGCGCCGTTTGAGGCCTGAGCCACGTCGTCAGATGGTAAGATGGGAAATGTCATCAAGGTACCACCTTGCTTGCAGGGCACGGGCGAAGATGCCCCGAGGGCGCGGGCGCCGACCAGCATCCAACGACGCCGCCACAGCGCGCGGAGGAGCACGCGCGAAAACTTCAAGATCTGGATGGAGTCGAGCAGGGGCGTCGACCGGCTGCGCGTTGACCACCTGGAAACAGCGTCGAGCGATTGACCCTCGAGCGCGCCATAACTGCGGGCTCCACTTATAAGCAGCGAAGGCGGGAAGCCCGACG